GCTTTTCGGGCAAAATACGCTCCCCCGGGTCGGTTTGGTGGCACGGAGGTGGTTTGCCCGCTCTGGTTTTCCTTGGAGGCTGCAGGGAGGGTTTGTAACGTGAGCGAGGCAGCGCGCTGGCTCCATGTTTTTAAATGAGGAGGAAAGCGTTTCTCGTACTGGTGGGCCGGGAGGAGGAAGGAGGCTTTTTGTAGCACTGCCTACTACACGGGGGTTTTCTCTCATCTGATGCCTTATTTAGTTTCCTCAGTGCTTATTACGCGTACTATACTTACACCCAGAATATGCAAAGTGCTTTTCAAACAGAGTTGGTATCCAAAGGCAAACAGAGTCTAAAAAGGGAAAGACTTGAAACAATGGAAAAGAATAAAACGCACAAGTAGAGGCCTAATAATATCATGTGTCTTTTATGTTTCAGAAAAGGGTCCAAAGACTTGATGAGAAGCTTCAGGCACTGTACACAGTGCTACCCTGCTGGTCAGCAGAATTTATTATACCTGCATATACCCACACAAACTTACTTTTCCACGTCTTTTTTCTCCTCACCTCCTCTTCTGTAAGCTAAAAAACTCCAATCTAAACACAGACCTTTCCTAGTGTAAATGCTGATGTCATACTGTATACATCTGTCGTGAAGAATAACCTGCCTTCTGCAGTTCAGCTTGTATATAATTGCTTTCAGCGTCAGGTAGAGATGTATTTAACGTTTTTCATAGTGATATAAAGCCTTCAAGGCAAAATTGATTTTAGTGATGGCAATGATAAAATACTTAGACTGTCAAAACATCGTCAAAGTCACTGGATTTTTTTATGCAGACCTGTCTTTTTATTTTTTTCAGAGCTAGATTATCCTCCCCAGATTTAGACTTTCAAGACTGAGGTCAGGAAGAGTACCAAACTGATTCAGAAGCACAAAACTGGTTGTAAACAATGAGGAGGCTTCTAGCCTGCTTGATGCACTTTAGCTTTTTGGACTTGTGAAGGTTCAGTTTATATAGTAAGGAAGTTTGTGGGGCTCTGATCTATCTTTTGTTATCATGGTTAACCATTTTAAGATTAAAAGATCTTAACACAAAAATAATTCAAAGTTTGAAATTGCTGTAGTTCAGAAACTAAAGAAATAACTATTAAATATCCCATTTGCACATGTCGTGGTTTAAGCCCAGCCAGCAACTGAGCACCCAGCCGTGCACTCATGGTGGGATGGGGGAGAGGATCAGAAGAGTGAAAGTGAGAAAACTCGTGGGTTGAGATGAAGACAGTTTAATGGGTAAAGCAAAAGTTGCACACGCAAGCAAAGCCAAACAAGGGATTCATTCACTCCTCCCCATCGTCTGGCAGGTGTGCAGCCATCTCCAGGACAGCAGGGCTCCATCACGCGTAACAGTGACTTGGGAAGGCAAACGCCATTGCTCTGAACGTCCCCCCCTTCCTTCCTTCTTCCCCAGATTTATATGCTGAGCATGATGTCATATGGTGTGGAATATCCCTTTGGTCACATGGGGTCAGCTCTCCCAGCTGTGTCCCCTCCCACCTTCTTGTGCACCCCCAGCCTACTCGCTGGTGGGGTGGTGTGAGAAGCAGAAAAGGCCTTGACTCTGTGTAAGCACTGCTCAGCAGTAACGAAAACATCCCTGTGTTATCAACACTGTTTCCAGCACAAATCCAAAACATAGCCCCATACTAGCTACTGTGAAGAAAATTAACTCTATCCCAGCCAAAACCATCACAACAGTGCATTTCATCCAGATAGATCCCCAAACCTTCCACAGACTTTTACGAACAGAACATGGGTTGATGGTTGGACTCGATGATCTTAGAGATCTTTTGCAACCTTAATGATTCTATGATTCTATATCCCTTGGGTCAGTTGGGGTCAGCTGTCCCGGCTGTGTCCCCTCCCAGCTTCTTGTGCCCCCCCAGCCTGCTCGCTGGTGGGGTGGGGTGAGGAGCAGAAAAGGCCTTGACGCTGTGTGAGCACTGCTCAGCAATAACCAAAACATCCCTGTGTTATCAACACTGCTTCCAGCACAAATCCAAAACACGGCCCCGTACCAGCTACTGTGAAGAAAATTAACTCTACCCCAGCCAAAACCAGCAGAGCACACCAGGAGCACAAAATGGGAACAGTATGAAAAGCCAAGCAATTTGTGTAATAGTCAACTACAGTTGGCTTTAAATAAATAATTAAAAATGTTGATGCGTGTTTGTTTTCTCATCACATGCATGCTGGACATGAGAAGATTTGTAACCGCAATTGAAAAAGAAGTCGGGCATGAAACTGGCGTTAAAACTGAGCAACATAAATTAATGAAAGATTGTATGGGGTAGGTAACAAGAAGAATGTGGGTTGTTATCCATTCTGCTTTTTCTAGATAAAAGGACAAGCAAAAACGTATAGGTAGCCCTTAATTTGAATCCTTGGGGAATTTTTGTTTGACACGTTTCTGTAGTAGTGTCCTTCACAATATGCATTTACGTCTGACTTACCCTGTGGTTTGGTTCTCTGCTTTTGAACTCTGGCAAGCCTTTCCGTCCTTGCACTCGGAAGGATGGTATTGAAGAGGCAGCTACAAACCGTTACAGTACCCGCTTTTTGTCCCTGGAACTGATTTGTAAAGGTAAATTCGTCTTCCACAAAAACAACTTTGACCGTTTCAGCTGTTAAAATACCAGATAATTTGCATCTTGCAAATGTACATTTTGCAGTGTACATTACTGCGCTGGATATAATTTGCATCTAAACGTGGTCTATCTGACCAGACGGTCAAACCTACCTACGTCCAGGTGTTGGATTTTCTTTCTCTGATCTGTACGACCTACGGAGGGAATGTCTTGTTTCTGAAAGAACAAGAAGAGAAACAAAAACAGGGTTCCTGAAATGCTTATTTTCAGTATTACTAAAAATGTACTTGAGATGCCAATGGAGTAATTTCCTGTGGCCTCAGGTTGCCTGTGGCAAAGGATCCTCTTTCCATACAGTTTTATGTTGCCCTGGAACCCCATGGTTTAACTGATCCCTCAGGTTAATTGAGTCATGTCAGTTTACACCACTAGAGGGATATGTCCTGTAAATTTAGTATGTGGATCCGATCGTTTTTTGCTTGGGGAAATGGGAAAGGGCTGCTGTTCAAAAATTGCACGTGTTCAGCTGTTTCTCTTTGTGATCCGTGAAATTCAGGGAATGACACCTGAAGATGAACGTTTTTCTCTGTCCCTGCTCTGTGCGACCACTTTTTCATGGCTTGTGCTGCTGGTTGTTTAATTTCTGCATGAAATGAGACCTAACAAACAGATTGATTGGAACTCATTATGGCTACATATGTTGGAGAAGATTGTACATATTTCCTCTCATCAGCATATGCATGCGAAGGGGGAGATAAAATTGACACAAAATCCTGAAGATGTTTTCACTACTTGGTTCTAATAGTGTTAAAATAAAGGTAGCAGCCGCATAAATAAAGCTGGATTTTGTGCTACAAATTGCCTGTTCAAATTTTACGTTAATCATGAACTTGTGCCTCTTCTAGGGTCCTATTTTATTGGGTCATAGCGTATACAGCATCTTAGGCATGGAATCCTGAGTCAGGGTTCTCGGCTCAAAAGTCTCCCATCCCATGACAATGTCAGCTTCCAAATACTGCAGCTGAAAATGTCATTATTGGCAGCTTTCTGAATTGTCTAGTCCGTACGGGTTACAGAAAAAGGTCATTAACACCTCGAGATCCTGCAAGCCTGATCCTGTGTAACATGTAATTTATGCCATTGATTTATATGCGGATAGCGTGAGTAAAATGCTAAAAGCAGGATTATAAGAGGATGAATCAGAGTCTTTGTAAAGTGCCTTGAAGTTTAAAGGCTCTTTATGAGCACTGTTGTTGGGATGATGATAATTATGCCTGAAGTAATATCACAGAAATTTATTGGCACCTGAATGAGTGAAAAAGAGAAGTCGT